GAAATATGTGTGTGGGTGTTTGTTTCTTACATTGTGTGCGGTGATGAAACCCAGATTTTATAGTTTTCCAAGTGTTTTCTTTTTCTCCGCACTTCCTTGTGCCCTAGTGTTCCAAAGGAGGAAGGGGGTGGTGTTTAGTGGGTAATAAAATACCAGCCACAAACCTCGTCCGGTTTTTTGCTGCTCGTACATGTCCGTGTGTGTGTGTTTGCATCATTTTCCCCCATTTCTTTTTAAGGCAGGCACGGGCAGAGCATAAAAAATTCTGTTCTCACGCACTTGTCTTTGTGTGTGTGTAAATGGTTTTTCAATTGGTTCAGTTGAATGTGTGTGAGAGAATAGTGATACTTACTCTCGCGAGAGTGCACGCGTGCGGTGCTTCGCCCGACTGTGTTTTAAGGCTCTCTTTCATCATGTCGGGCAGTCAGTCGGTGTTGTGTACAATTTTTGCATGCCACAGCCTCTCTTTTGCACACACACACACTCTCTCTTTCTCCCTGTATGTTGCTTTCTTTTTTTTTTTTTTTTGGTTGCAACACAAAACATGTTTACTCCCCTTTACAGCAGCAGTGGCTTGATTGTGCCTGCCTGGTTGCTCTGTGGTGTTTTTTGTTGTTGTTTTCCCCGGTATGTTTTATTGATTTTTTTTTCGTGCTCTACCGTTGCTCTTGTTGTGTTGTGCATTATCTTATTGGGATTCTTCTCAGTTTGGGTTCTCATTAGAAAATCAACACAACACACATTATCATTGCATTTCACCCATTCTCATTCGTTTATTTTAGTGTTTTGTTGTTATTCTGCATTTTCTGCACTATTTTGTTGTTGTTGTTTTGCTGGCTGGCTGTGTTCATTTTTGTCAACTGCCCTCATCTGGTGTTTTTAATAATGGTGATGCCACTACGTAGAGATAGGTGACCATTAAATAAATATATGATTGCCTCGTTAACATGGAAGAATTGTGAATTGGGGGAAAAAGGGTGACTTTTTTCCCTGAAAGTGATACATAAATATAATGAGCTCTAATTTATAACCTTGTTCTTAGATCCTAGGGGAGTTTTTCTTCGAAAAAAAAATATTTGACTGAAGCGCATTTGACAGTTGTTAGCAGTCAACGACTTCAAATGTCATGACTTTAACTAACGTGTCAAAAATGTCACTGCAACCCCTTGCACTACTTCTTGCATGTGTGTGATGGCAAGAGGCATTATTTTTTGGTTTTTGAAGCTTATCAAATATAAATATGTTTTTGTCATGGATATTTTGGGATGATTTTGGAACGACTAAAATGCAATAAAAATGGAAAGTAATTTACATAAAGATGGAGAAATTATTGCTGGATTTTTTTTAAAGTGTTTTGGCACCAACGACAGGAATATGAGCCTAATATGAACATGGATAAGGAATCGAGTAGACTTTTCAAATTTGATTGAGTTCGCTTCGCTCATTTGAAACACCAATAAAATACGCAGCCAAACAGACCTATTATCATATGATTATTTTTTTTACAAAAATTATTAATCCCTATTAATAACGATTATAATTTTTGCATAAAATAACAATCAGATTAATGGTCTCAATTTACACCTGACTTGCCGGTTATGATTTACCTTAGAGATGCCATCCAGCTAGCCGGCCAGCCACTGGTATGCCATTTGATTCAAGCTTTATATCTATTACAGGATGAGGACCAATGAAACCATTGCTGGTTAAACTTATTCAAAATGCTGCTGCCTTTAACATTAAAACTCAATTCAAAACAAACCCTGAAAATGCAATTTTTAGATGCATTAAAAATATGACTATTTTGCTGTACCTGCGGTCAAGGAATCGGCGGCTTTGTCGTTAAAAACGATATCAAATTTCTTTATTTCTCGGGACTTGGCGTCTGTATAAAGGATTTTTACTGCAACTATATAAATTGCATATCCTGATCTTCTGATTGAAAGTCAGATATCCTAATCACTAGACAATACGGAAAAACACAATGATTTATTTGATAACAAAAAAATTGCATTATTTGAAATATATACTCTCTACATAACTCGTAGCATATTCTGGCCTCTAGACCATATGGGAAATATTAATTTCGCTCAACATGGCCTAGCCACCGTCGCTGCAGTTCGATACATCTGATTATGTCGATGTCCGATAAAAGATGGTACTACTCGTGGTTCATTCGCCGACGATATTCACCGTCGACGCAGATCGGCCCATAGATCTTTCGGGTAATTTTTCTCTCAAACACTTGACTACCTCGAAGCTGTAGCTCGCAAGTTCCACATGTGGCCCGAGTCTACTGGACGTCTTGCGCGTTGATACCATCAGCTTGGTCTTTTCGCCATTTACCGCCAGACCCACTTTGGCAGACTCCTTCTCAATTTGTTCAAAGGTGGCTGTTACCGCTCGCAATGTTCGACCAATTATATCGATGTCATCGGCGTATGCGAGTAACATGTGTTGTTTGGTGCACAGAGTGACATTTCTGTTCACCTTTGCCTCTCGTATGACCTTTTCCAGCAGGATGTTAAACAGTTTACACGACAAACTGTCACATTTTCTGAATACTCGTTCGGTATTGAAGGGTTCCGAGAGGTCCTTTCCTACTTTTACTGCTGACTCTGTACCAGTTTAAGTTATCCTCCGAAGCCGTATTAATTTTGAGGAATGCCAAACGCAGACACGGTTTTAATTAAATGCTCTGAACGGATAGGCCTGTTGAATGTGGCTTTATAGTCGACGAATAGGTGGAATGTGTCGATATGCTTTCGCGTGTTTTTCCAGTATTTGGCGCAGAGTGAATATCTGGTCAATGGTAGATTTGCCAGGCCTGAAGCCGCATTGGTATGGTCCAATAATGCAATTGACCATTGGCTTCAGTCGTTCACACAGCACGCTGGATAGCACTTTATAAGCGATGGGAAGGAGACTTATTCCTCTATAGTTGGCACATATCTTGTATCTATTTTTGTGCACCGGACATATCATTCTGAGGTTACAATCATTAGGCATGCATTTCTCCATCCAAATTGACCTAATCAGCTGGTGCATGCTCCTGGCCAGCATCTGACCACCGGCTTTGAATAGTTCGGCTGCTAATTCATCGGCACCTGCTGCTTTTTTATTCGTCAGCCAATTGATTGCTATTCTGACCTCATCTTGGCTAGGTGGTATACAACGGTACATCTTATTGGCTCTGGGATATCTTCTTCACCGCAACTATTTCATACCAGAAGCTTTGAAAAATGCTCCTTCTAGATCCTTAACACGCCGTCTACATCTGTCACCAGGGTTTCTTCTTTATCTCTAGAGGAGGATGTGCTGCATCAAAACCTTCGTTTTGGTGTTTTACCCGTTGGTAAAACTTCCGGACTTCTTTCTGACTCCTGTACATCTCGATTTGCTCACGCTCACGTTTTTCTTGTTCTTTCTTCTTTTTTTCTGAAAAGACGTTTCTCCTCTCTCCTTTTCTACCGATAATTCTCCATTACGTGTTGGTACTGTCTGCAAGGTTGCCCTATACGCTGCGTTTTCACCTCAGTAGCATTACGACATTACTCATCGTACCATGGGTTTCGCGATGGTGTTTTTTTTTTGTACCCAAGTTTTGCCGTTTGCAGGGAATGGGCAATTTTATAATTGGGACATGGAATGCTTTCAAGAAAGTGAGTATGTTGAGCGCGGAATGGGCTTCTGCTATCTATTGTGTTTGCAGCTTTTCTACGTCGAATATCCGTTTTGTGTTAGATCGCACCTTTGCTGCTACATTAAGACGAGAACGAACCTTGGTGCTACAATGTAATGGCCCGAATCAATATTCGCTCCTCGTATCAATCGAACGTCTAAAACATTGGACGAATGCCCTCCGTCTATCACGAAATAATCAATTTGATTTCTCTTTGCTTGACCGAGAGAAATCCAGGTGTCCTACCACGTTTTTGCTGCCGCAAAGTCACTCATGCCTTTGTCGGATGTTTCCTCATGGAGACTGAATTTTCGGACGTCGGGACCAAAAATATTTTCCCTTCCGATTTTTTCATTAAAATCTTCTAGCAGAATTTTAATGTCATGGCCAGGGCAGGGGTTATATGCTGTTTCTAGGCGCTCGTAAAATATGTCTTTGGTCTGTTCATCTTTGTCTTCCGTCGGAGCATGGACGCAAATAAGACTGATGTAGAAAAACATCGATTTTATACGGATTATAGCAATTCGCTCATCTACTGGAGTGAATCTGGTTTGTTTTTCTTTTTTATCCCGATTTTCGGTATTTTTAAGCTCTTGATTAATTTTTATCAGAAGTTAGAGTAATTTTACATACGGGGTTTTTATAAAGAACCATTCTTCAATATTTTATTGGTTTTCTGATATAAGTAGGATGGAATTTAAATTTAATTTATTGTGTTAACACATTTGAAATTTGCGATTCTCAGCTCCTTGATGCTGTTGATAAATGTTACACATTTTCCCCGGGGTATTTTATTTGTTGCATTTTGTAATGATACATTGTGACGAATTAAATGACAAATGAAATTCTTTTACCACATCATAATTTTCAACAGATTCCCCTCTTTATATCCTCCTCTTCATCCTCCTGTATTTTACCAAACAACCTACCAACGTGTTAATTAAATCACAATATTAATTGCGCTATATTTACACGTTATGATACACATACATATATTTTTTAACATTATGTTTTTTTGTTGTTGTTGTTAATTACCCAAGTTTTTAATTTTTTTTTTTCATTTTTCCTATTTCTTTTTATTTTCATATCCTGTACAGAATTCATCAGCACAGTGTCCTGATTATTAAATATTTGAACGGCAACTTATGATTAAATTGGCAATCAGCGAATAATAAAAAAAAAACAAATATTAAACAATCACCACCTACCCGATCCGATCATTATCATCATCCACCACCACCACCACTCTAGTCAAAATACAATTTTAAGTTTTTGATTTTGATTTATTGGAAGAAAAACAACCAAAACTTTTATCTATCATCCCGTCTTCGAAATTCAAATTATGTTGAACAACGCTACTAAGGGTTCACCGAATGTAAGTAGAGTTTTCCTTTTTTTAAATATTTTTTCGTTTATTAATTATATATTATTTTAATTGTAAAATGTTTAATTTTATTAGTTAAGTTGCCTTCATAATTTTATGTCGATCAGAAAAAAAGAAAACATTTAAGAGCAATCGTTATCGTTTATTGATTTTTACGAAACCCAGGAATTGTTCTTGACAACATCGGATTGTTAGCAAATAAACGAATACGATTTCGCCTTTGTGAAATAATTTTTAAACACATATTAAATTAATCTACGCCTTCGGTAGTCCTTGAAAAAATATTTTTAAAAATTCATGACTGCAGTAGTCCCTAAAAAAATATTTAAAAAAATTAGAATAGTGGTAGAAAATATTTTTTAAAAAAACCAGGCCCTTTGCTAGTCCTTGAAAAATATTTTGCAAAAAATCCACGCCCTTTGCTTGCTTCCTTACTTAGCTGGCTTGCTACAGAACGGTTGTACCATAAGCCGAGCTTAATAAAAGATTTCTAAGGGCGTCGGTCTTGTGTGCATCTCCTCCAATTTGGAAGACCACTTTCCAAGATGTTGTTTTCTACTTGGTCTTTCCATCTGGCCTTCCTCTTCTACGGGAACCATCAGTAGGCTCGTTTTTATATGCCTTTTGAGCTTCCATCGTAGTCATTGCAGCTCGATGCGACTAACAATGCCGATGTTCGAGAATATCTGGTACAACTCATGGTTCAAACGTCAGTGGTATACACCGTCAATGCAGATCGGCCCGTAGATCTTTCGGAGAATTTTTCTTTCAAACAACCCAAGAGCTGCCTCAGCTGCTTGCGCAAGTAGTCATGCTTCAGATCCATATGACAGCACGGGTAGTATCAGCGTCTTGTAAATTGTGAGTTTGGTCTGTCGGGAGGTGGCCTTGTTTCTAAACTACTTACACAGACCATAGTAGCATCTGTTGGCCATCACAATCCTCCGAATTTCAAAACTGGTGTCACTTTGGCAGACTATTTCTCAATTTGTTAAAAGGTGGCTGTGACCGCTCGCAATGTTTGACCCATTATATCGATGTCATCGGCGTGGGCTATTAATTAGTTAAAAAGTGGCTTTTACCGCTCCCAATGTTCTACCCATTATATCGATGTCATCAGCGTAGGCGAGTAACATGTGTTATTTGGTGTACAGAGTGTCATTTCTGTTCGCCTTTGCGTCTCATATGAACTTTTTAAGCAGAATGTTAAAAAGATCACACGACAAACTGTCACCTTGTCTGAATCCTCGTTCGATATTGAAGGGCTCCGATAGGTCCTTTCCGAATTGTGCCACTTAAATTTATCCTGCATAGCCGTATGCCGAACGTAGACATGGCTTAAAAACCTCTGAACGTATAGGGCTAATGCTGATTTATAGTCGACGAATAGGTGGTATGTGTCGATGTGTTTTTCGTGGGTCTTTTCCAGGATTTTGGAGTGAAAATCTAGTCAATGGTGGATTTGCCAGGTCTGAAGCCGCATTGGTATGGTCCAATAATGTCATTGACCAATGGCTTTAATCATTTACACATCACACTGGATAGCACGATATATGTGATGGGAAGAAGGCTAATTCCTCTATAGTTGGCACGCCCTTTGCTAGTCTTTGATTTTTTTTTTTAAATCCAGGCCTTTGCTAATAATAATACCTTAAAAATATTTTTTTTTAATCCAGGCCTTTGCTAATAGTAATACCTTAAAAAAATATATTTTTTTTAAATCCACGCCTGCGGTAATACCTTCAAACTTTTTTAAATCCTGGCCTGGGAGGCCTTGTAAAAATATTCTTTAAAGAATCCACGCCTTGTGAGGTTTTGGAAAAATATTCTTTAAAGAATCCACGCCTTGTGAGGCTTTGTAAAAATATTCTTTAATGAATCCACGCCTTGTGAGGCTTTGGAAAAATATTCTTTAAAGAATCCACGCCTTGTGAGGCTTTGGAAAAATATTCTTTAAAGAATCCACGCCTTGTGAGGCTTTGGAAAAATATTCTTTAAAGAATCCACGCCTTATGAGGCTTTGGAAAAATATTCTTTAAAGAATCCACGCCTTGTGAGGCTTTGGAAAAATATTCTTTAAAAAATCTACGCCTTCCTAAGAAATCTAATCCCCTTAGTAATTTGTTTTAATTCCCATAAATGTTTCCTTATGATTATTTATGTTAGAATTCCCCTAAATTTCCTCCTCCAAATCACCAAATCACCAAATTTCCCACTTTCTTTCAGCTATCTTTTATTTATTATAATGCCAATATTTATTTAAATCGTGTCACTTTTCTTTATTTACTTAAACGACGGCAATTTGTTTGCTGCATCACGAATTATTACACCCACACTATCATGTTTGTTTTTGTTTGTTTGTCACTCTCCATTAAAAAAACTGTGAACGCCGTTCTTTTTTGTTTAAATATTTTATTATTGTTTACATAAACAAACCACTACTATTACTCCCTCTCAGCCATCACCACTTGTCCTCTTCTTTAATTAACTGGAATCTCCTTAAAAATTGTTGTTATTGTTTTATTAGCAAACACTCACTTGTTCATTTCTATTCTCTACCTCTCCCGCACTTGCTGCCTTCGGTTAAGTGTGAGCATGTTCAGTAGTTTATCTAAAGATTTTGTTTATATTTTTTGTTTCTTATATTTACCCCGTTACTTGTAGCTGCCACCTTCTCCATTAACATCTTAACCGCCTGCCTTAGCCTACCCACCCACCCACTTAACAACAATGCTTTGGTTTGTTTAATTTTTCTACCCTTCCCCTACTCTTTACTATAACGGGAGTACTCAATTGCGCTTGGGAGCTCTCAAGAGTTTGTTATATCTCCTTCTACGGTTTGTTGTTTAAAAAACCGGCTACTTACAGTTAATTTTTGGGGTAATCAAGATGGTTGTAGTTTTTCCATTGTTGTTGTTTAATTCGTGGATCTTCGTTGTCATTGTATTATCAGAGTGTCCACAAAATATTCTCTGTCTCTCTCCATCTCAGACATTTTACAGGGATGGGAACTTGGAATTTATAAAATATATATAATTTGGACATCTCAAGAAGCAATATATATATCTTTAAAAATACAGGGTGAGATGAAAAAACTGCAACCAACTTCAGACTGCTGTAATTTCAAGAAAAAAAGCAACATCAGCAGATATGGTTCGAAAAGTAAAGAAGCGACTTGATCGAAACCCGAATCGCTGTGGCCAAAAATGGCTCGTAAACTGAACATATCGCAATATTCCATTCGACAATTATTGAAAAATGAGCTCGGTGGGTAAAGCCATTGAAATTCCAAAAAAAGGGCAAGAACATACACCGCAACGCCAGACCAAACTCACAGTTTACTATCCGTGCTGTTATATGTATCATAAGCATGGGTACTTGCGCAAGCAGATGAGTCAGCTCTTGGAGTGTTTGAAAGAATAATTCTCCGAAAGATCTACGAGCCGATCTGCGTCGACGGTGAATATCGGTGTCGAATGAAGCAATTTATACGCGGACATCGACATAGTCGTATTGACCTGCAGCGACTACGGTGGCTAGGCCGTGTTGTGCAAATGAATGAGAATGCCCCAGCTCAAAAGGCATATAAAAGCGAGCCTACTGATGGTTCCCGTAGAAGGGGAAGGCCACGAATCAGATGGAAAGACCAAGTAGAAAACAACATCTTGGAACGTGGTCTTTTAAACTGGCGGAGATGCGCACAAGACCGACGCGCTTGGAAATCATTTTTATTTATGCTCCGCTTATGGAACAACCGTTCTGTAACAAGCCAGGTAAATAAGTAAGTTCGTACTTACATCGCAACAGAAAAAAAATAGACTGAAAAGAGCTAAAGAGTTGCTTCTTCATGGTCGAAAGTGGTGACCTGCCGAATTTGGTTTTCTCCGATGAGAAAACCTTCGTTGTCCAGGAGTTTGTGAACACACAAAATGATCGTGTTTACTTGCCAAAGAGGTCAGTTGAAAATTTGCACCTTCGGTTGGCCACCAGAATTCAAGCGAAGGCCATGGTGATGGTGTGGGCCACCATAACAGCCCCGATGGTCGCTCTCCGCTCGTATTAATCGACCGTATCATCAGAATAAATGCCGAATATTATCGCGAAAATATTCTAATAGACCCTGTATTGAAGCCTTGGGCACGCAAACATTTTGGCCGCAGACCTTGGGCATTTCAACAGGACTCAGCTCGCTTCATTTCCAGCGCACATTGTGGCCACCAAAATCCCCGAATACCAATCCGTTGGACTACTGTGTCTGGAGTATTGTGGAAAGCAAGGTTGACACTAAAAATTCCCAAGTTGTCGATCATCTCAAGCAAGCGCTTTGCCGGGAATGGGCCAAAATACTTTCTGGAGAAAGGCAGTAGAGAAAGCCAATAAGCAAAAAATTATTTCTCGTAATGTATCGATCAAACAATTTCAGATTCATGGTCGTTGGAGGAACATTTCGCAGTAAAAAAAATATTTTGCTGTTTTTTGTGCATTCAGTTGTGAGTTATAGGGTGTTAAAAGTACGAGTGAACAAAGAGAAAATTCGATACATTTTACAGTTTTTCTTTGACAAAGGCAAAAAAGCAACCCAAGCGGCTAAAATTGTGAATAGTGTTAATGGTTCCGATACTGTAACAGCCAATTATGTGCAATTTTTGTTTCGTAGATTCCGTTCAGGATTTTTTCATTTTAATGATGCACCTCGCACAGGTAGGCCGGTTGTCGAAAATGTCGATAAAATCGGAGAAATGATCGAAGACTTAGGCAAAAATCTATAATTTGGGCTTCGACGCTGTTTTGCTATTTTCAACCAATCATGGGAGTTTAATATAGTCTGTGTGCCAATGCTGAAAGGAATTATGCTGAATGTGCAGAACTTTTGAAATTAAAAAATGATTTCTTGATACCTTTTGCTTTTCTAAAACCAGACTGAATTTGGCATAGGTTTGTCTTTTGTCTGCAGGCAGGTCAAGTTCGAATATGGTATATATCGGTCCATG